CTCTACTAAAAATACAAAAAATTAGCTGGGCATGGTGGCGCGTGCCTGTAATCCCAGCGACTCAGGAGGCTGAGGCAGGAGAATTGCCTGAACCCAGGAGGCGGAGGTTGCGGTGAGACGAGATCACGCCATTGCACTCCAGCCTGGGCAACAAGAGCGAAACTCCGTCTCAAAAAACAAAAAACAAAAAACAAAAAACAAAAAACAAACAAAAAAAATTTAGACACAAAGATCTCACTGGGTTGCTCAGATTGGTCTTGAACTCTCCTGAGCTTATGCAATCCTCCTGCCTCGGCCTCCCAAAGCACTGAGATTACAGGCATGAACCACCACGCCCAGCAAATTCTTCAGACTTTAAGACTACTCCTCCATTTACCAGCTGTCGGACCTTAGGTAAGTCACTTAACCCCTCTGTGCCTCAATTCTTCATCTGTAAAATGATGTAATGATGGTATACTCCATAGGGGTTGTTACAGGGACTAAATGAAGTAATACACGTAAAACACTTGGTATTCATATATGTTAAGTCCTCAAATACCATTATTATATATACATATTCCTTTTCTCTGAAACAGCAGGAGCAGAAAATAAAGACGTTTCTTTTGCTACGGAAAGCTCTCAGAAGCTTACAGTGTCAGAATGCTTTACATTCCCAAGGAGAAAACAGGGAGCCAGAGAGGTGAAGTCTTTCCTAGGTTCACACGATGAGTTTGTGGCAGACTACACAGCCACCATTAAGAACTGTATCACCAAAGCTGCCCACCTTCCACATTCTTGACCACCCTCTTTCCAAGGGTCTCGCTGACCTGTGAGTTCCTGGATGGTGACACGATCCAGGATCTTGAAACTCGTGTCCAGTTTCAGGGGCTGGCTGCAGCGCTGGCACACGAAGCTCACCTGCATGGTGCTGTTGTTGGACGTCTTAGACCCTTCCATCCCTGCGGCGGTGGAAAACAGGCAACATTAGGAAGAATCGACGCCCCTGAACTTCCTGCCTGGGGTTACCATCTGCCTTGGTGACGATGGTAAAGGAAGGGAAGTCCCAGCCTGCGCCGTTCCCTCTAGGAATGGTATGATACGAGGCGGACCTGCTTCCGGGGCAGCCTGAGCTCCAGGCAGTTTAGAGCCCAGGGACAGGGAAGGGACTCCAATAAGAGCCGTGAGGGTTGCCAGACTCCCTTCTAAGGTCCCACTTCAGCCGCCGACGCTCTTCACCTCGGGAACCCGGAGCCCGTCACCCAAGTCCGGTCTACCGCGGGGGCACTGTGGCCTCGGGTCGGCCCCGGAGCGAGGGCCCGAGAACTGCCATCGCTCTATCTTCAGCGACTTCCCGGTCCGCCGGCGGAAAACTTCCGCCCGAGACCGGACGTGACGTCACGACGGCAGCAGGCAGTCCTGGTCCACAGGCTCACGGGCCCGCCAGCGGCCCCCAGAGGCCGGACTGGGAAAAGCAGTGGGCTTCAGCTGGTGACTAAGGCTGCGAAGGGAAGAGTAGGCGCCAAGTCCGGAGAGAATGGGGAGGCTCCGCTATTTTTCTGTATTCAAGGGGCGCCGGGCGCGGTGGCTCACGCTTGTGATCCCAGAACTTTGGGAGGCCGAGGAGGGTGGATCAACTGAGCTCAGGAGTTCGAGACCAGCCTGCCCAACATAGTGAAACCCTGTCTTTACCAAAAATTTAAAAATTAGCCAGGTGTAGTGGTGGGCACCTACTCGGGAGGCCGAGGCAGGAGAATCGCTTAAATCCAGGAGGCGGAGGTTGTGGTGAGCCGAGATCTGGCCACTGCACTCCAGCCAGAGCAAGACTCCATCTCAAAACAAACCAACCATAAAACAAAGAAAATGTTATTCAAATAAAGGCTTGAAGAAGGGAAGGAAGGAATTCTTGCATACATCTGAAGGAAGCTTATTCTAGGCCTGGGGAGCACAAAGGGTGTCTGTTTGGGGATTAGTAGAGACTGGTGTGGCTAGGAGATGGGCAAGGAAAAGAGATATAGAAAATGGGATGAGGGAGGTTAGGGTGCTGAGCCATCTACCACCTAGGCTCTTATAGGGATTGTGAAGCTCTGGCTTTCACTTTGAATGAGATGAGATGAGATGGCTGGGTCTTGAACACAGGGACTTATTTCATTTTTAAAAACAACTTTATGGGGTATAATTTACATACCATAAGACTCACACTTTTAAAATGTACAGTTCAATGAATTTTAGTACATTTACAGAGTTGCACAACTATCACCCTAATCCAATTTTAGAACATTTCCTATCTCCCCTTGCAGTCCCCCACTTTGGCCTCCCAAAGTGCTGAGATTACAGGTGTGAGCCAATGTGCCCGGCCAAAAGTGTTTCATTGCAATAAAGTCCAATGTTTGTGCTTTTGGTATAAAAGAAACCATTGCCTAACCCAAAATCATATATAGTATTGTCTATTTCATTTTTATTTTGAGACAGTGTCTTACTCTGTCACCCAGCCTGGAGTGAAGGAGAATGAACAAACACGGTTTACTGCAGCTTTGACTTCCTGGCTCAAGCAATCCTCTTGCTTCAACCTCCCATGCATCAGGGACCACAGGTGATCGCCACCATGCCCAGCTAATTTTTGCATTTTTTGCAGAGATGTGGTCTCACTTTGTTGCCCAGGCTTCTGCTTTTTAAATTTAACATTTTTCTATGTTGATACACAGTTTTTTTAGTTATCATGGCTGCATTATACTACACTAAATGTACTACCTGAGTGTATTTTTTTTACTGCTGGAAATTCTATTTCCCCTTTGGGTGATTACAATGATGCTGCAATGATGAGCTACTTACTTATAACTGGGATTACAGAATTAAGAGTGTGTCAGCTATTTAATGTCTCTTGCTTAACATTGGGAATTATTTTCCAAAGTGTTTGCACATAATCATATTCTGGCCCCAGTAATGTATGAGGAAGGCTGTTTCATAATGCCTTGGCCAGTATTGGGTATCATATACTTGGGGAACAAAAGCAAAAAATGGCACTTCCTTGTTATTTTATTTTATTTTATTTTATTTTTGTGACGGAGACTCACTCTGTTGCCATACTGGAGTGCAGTGGTGCGATCTCGGCTCCCTGTAACCTCCGCCTCGTGGGTTCAAGCGATTCTCCTGCCTCAGCCTCCTGAGTAGCTGGGACTACAGGCGCACACCACCACACCCAGCTAATTTGTGTATTTTTAGTAGCGACAGGGTTTCACCATGTTGGCCAGGATGGTCTCAACCTCTTGACCTGGTGATCTGCCTGCCTCGGCCTCCCAAAGTGCTGGCATTATAGGCATGAGCCACCACATCCGGCCCCTGTTATTTTAATTAGCATCATTGATTACTGGTAAGGCTGAACTTTTTGCCATATACTTGCTTATTGTAGTTGCTTTTTTTTTTTTTTTTTTTTTTGAGAGGGAAACAGGGTCTCACTCTGTCACTCAGGCTGGAGTGCAGTGGTGCAGTCTTGGCTCACTGGAACCCCTGCCTCCTGGGCTCAAGCAGTACTTATTTTTTAATGAATTATGTTTGCTTTCTTTGATTATTTAGCTATTGGATTCTTAGTATTTTTCTCAATTTTTTTTTTTGAGACAAGGTTTTGTTATTGTTGCCCAGGCTAGAGTGCCCACCACCATGCCCAGCTAATTTTTTTGTATTTTTAGTAGAGATGTGGTTTCACTATGTTGGCCAGGCTGGTCTCGAACTCCTGACCTCAGGCGATCCACCAGCCTCAGCTTCCCAAAGTGCTGGGATTACAGGAATGAGCCATCGCGCCCCGCTTTTCTCAATATTTTTAGTAATTTTTCATGTATGCTTTAACATTTTTTCCAGATGTTCAAACAGTTCTAAATTTTCAAGTCAAATTTGCTTATTTTTCTTGACGTATATTGCTTAGAAAGTTATTCCCACTTCCAGAAGTGTCTTTCTTTTCTTTTAAACATATGTGGTCTTCTTATAGTTGGTATTGAATGTGATATGTGGAACCAATTGGGTTTTCTCCTGGTTTTGTGACTAGAGATAGTGTTTACAGTTCTTCTTCCTCTTGGCTCTTTCAGCATGAAAGCCCCTGTGGGGTGGTGACTGGAATTATCCCCAGAGAATTCTTACCTAGTCATGGTGTGGCTGCTTCATAGTCCTACGTTTCTTCCTGTTTGGCTGTCCCTAACACCATCTCAGAAAAGCATAGAGAAGTAAGGGGCTTCTAGAGAGGTAACGTTACAACTGAGGATTTGGAAGTTGAGACCGCCTCGCTCTTTACCATACACTAACCATTGTGCAACGTATTCATTGTCACCTTGTGCTATGTATTCAACTGTTCTGGGTGTTGTTTTCTCATTTACAAAATGAGAATTATAGTATACAATAGTATATATTATAAAGTGTAGTGTGATAAATGAACAGAGGGCAATGCCTGGCACATTGTAAATGCTGTGTGTGCCCTCCCACTTGGGAAGTATACATAGTCATTGCATGTAGTGCTTGAGGGATTGTGAATAATCAACAACATATCCTAAATCATCAATTCAACAGATGTTTATTGAGGATCTATTATGTGTCAGTCCCTATTCTAGGTCTGAGAGGATATATCGGTGAGCTGTTCTAACAGTTTACATTCTAGACGAGATAATTTGACAATAAACATGTCACCAATGTTTGTTTAATAACTTGGTTAATAATTTCAAATAATGGCAGATTCTACAGGTTGAGTTGTGTCCCCCAAAAGATGTTGAAGTTGGGAAGTCAGATTAGAGTGGACTGGGGTAAATGGGGCATGAGTGCCTGTGAATGTGACCTTTTTTGGAAATAGGATTGTTGCAGATGAGATCTTTAATGCTAGCCCTAGACCAATATGACTGTGTCCTTATAAATAGGGGCAATCTGGACACAGAGAAAGACATGTACTGCGTCTGACAGAAGATGATGTAAAGAGACACAGGGTCATCTCTAAGCCAAGGAAGACCTGAGGCTATCAGAAGCCAGGAGAGAGGTCTAGAACAGATTCTTCTCTGACTCCTTTAGAAGGAACATCATTCCGCTGACACCTTAATGTTGAACTGCTAGCATCCAGAACTCTGAGACAATATATTTCTCTGGTTCTAACCACACGCTTTGTGGTACTTTGGTACAGCAGCCCTAGAAAACTAATACAGTAGGTAAGAGGATGATGTGATAGAGAATAAGTTGGGGCAGGATGGGAGGAGCTACTTCTACTGGGGGATTCAGGAAGGCCTGTGTTGTCTGGAAACCATTGAGGGTGATAAGTAGGGAAGAGACATGACTGGTTCACTTAAAAAAAAAAAACAAAAAAACTATTTACCGTGAGATAGAATATGGATAGAATATATAGGGGAAAGGACAGAAATCATAAGTGTATTTCCAATGAATTTTTTTTTTTTGGTAGAGTCTTGCTTTGTTGTCCAGGCTGGAGGGCAGTGGCACAATCTTGGCTCACTGCAACCTCCACCTCCCAGGTTCAAGCAATTCTCCTGCCTCACCATCCTGAGGAGCTGGGACTACAGGCACATGCTACCACACCTGGCTAATTTTTTGTATTTTTGGTAGAAGGGTTTCATCGTGTTAGCCAGGAGGGTCTCCATCTCCTGATCTCATGATCCACCCACCTCAGCCTCCCAAAGTGTTGGGATTATAGGCATGAACCACCACACCCAGCCTCAATTAACTTTTACAAAATAAACACATCAGTGTAACCAGTACGCAACTCCCTCTCCCATGCCTCCTTCTAGTTGACAACCACCCTAAGGGCAAACAATATCCTCAATTCTAACACCCTAGATTCAGTTTTAACTGTTTTTTGAATTCCATGTAAATGGAATCATACATGACGTACTCTTGTTTCTGTTTTCTTTCACTCATCATGATAGTCACCCATCTCGTGTAGTTTTAGTTCATACATTCTCAATGTGTTGTAGTACTCCATTGTGTGACTATATTAAAATATCGTTATCTCTCTTGCTGTTAAGAGGTATCTGGGTAGTTTCCAGTTGGGGCTATTGTGAATAGTGTTGCTATGAACATTCTTGTTCATGTCTTTTGGTGAATATATTTATGCATTTCTCTTAGGTAGGTCTCTACAGTGAGGTTTCTGGAATATCTATCTATCTATCTAGAAATAGAATATGGGCAAGATTTAGCTCCGTAGATAGGGACAGAAACACAGGTCTGACAAGTTACATCGATACATATGTATGAATATAGATCAATAGATATAGATATATATTCAGCTTGAGTAGATACTACCATATCTGTGGTTGACATATTAAAAGATTATTTCAAGCTGACCTGATGTGCACCTGTAATCCTAGCTCCTGAGCAGGCTGAGGCGGGTGGATCACTTGAGCCCAGGAGTTTGAGACTACCTGGGGCAACAGTCAATGAATGAATGATAGATTTTGGGTGCTGAGTGAAGAACAGAATGTGATAGTTGGTGGGGGTTGGCACGAGTGGAAAGACCAGACAGGAGCCCATTGTAATAGTCTCAGCAAAGGATGACAGTGGTGTGCCTTTGGCCAGGGTAACAGGTGAAGAGATGGGGGAAAGCACTCTCACACAGGGAAAGCTGACAGGACCTGCTGATGGGTTGAATGTGGAGACATGAGGGAAAGAGAGGAATCAAGGTTGACTGTTAGGTTTTTGGTTTGAACAACCAGGTGGACAGTTATGTCAGTTACTGAGATGGAAAAGAATAGGAAAATCGCAGGTGTGTGGGAGAATCAAGAATTCTGGTTTGGCCATGTTAAGTTTGATATGCTCATTAGGTTTCTAAGCAGAAATATCAAATAGATGGTTGGAACTCAGTGAAGATGTCAGGATGGGAGATATTAATTTGGGGCTCTCAAATCAGCATACAGATGACATTTAAAGCTATGAACAAGCATAGATCCTCTTAGAGAGAAAGTGTAAGCAGGGAATAAAGGACATAAGTCTCCTGGAGCATGCCACCATTAAGAAGTGGAGTTAGAGGGCTGGATGCAGTGGCTTACGCCTATAATCCCTGCACTTTGGGAAGCTGAGATGGGTGGATCACGAGGTCAGGTGTTTGAGAACAGCCTGACCAACATTGTGAAACCCCGTCTCTACTAAAAATATAAAAATTAGCTGGGCGCAGCGGCACACGCCTGTAATCCCAGCTCCTTGGGCACATGAGGCAGGAGAATTGCTTAAACCTGGGAAGAGGTGGAGACTGCAGTGGGCCGAGACTGCGCTGCTGTACTCCAGCTTGGGTAACAGAGCGAGACTCTGACTCAAAAAAAAAAAAAAAAAAAAAAAGAAGTGGAGCAGAGGAGAAAGACCCAGCAAAGGAAATGGGGAAATATCTGTTGAGGTTTTACAAAGATTAGAACAGGTTGCTGTGTGTATTTTAAGAAGGGGAGTGGCTAATGTGTTGAGTACTACTGAGAGGTTCAAGTAAGATGAGAGGTGATCACTGATGCTGTCAGCATGGAAGTCACTGATAACCTAACAAAAACTGTATCAGTGAAAAAGTAGGGTTGGGAAGTCTGATTAGAGTGGAATGGAGTAAATGGGGCATGAGGTCTTGCCAGGAAGGAATGCACAGAAAGGGAGTGATAGCTACAGAGGAACGTGGGTTTAGGGGAGGGTTTTTCTCAAGACAGGGGATACGGGTCATGTCTGGAAATGACCCAGCAGAGGATAAATGTGATGTAGGAAAAAGAGGGGCTAATCATGGGCACAGACATTAAGAAAGTGAAAGGAGATGGAATCCAAAGCACAAAAGGAAGAGGTGGGAACAGGCATGCTTCCTTCAATGAAAGAGGAGGAAAAGCAGAAAGTATTTTGCAGATTGGCAGATTTGGTGGTGAGATGATGAGGAAGCTCTCATTTGCTTCTATTTCTCAATAAAGAATGAGCTCAGACCATAAATTGGAGGTGGGAGAGAAGGAATACTGGAGGTTGAGGGAGATGAGACAGTATGACAGTCATTGGGAGGGTGGGAGAGCAAACGAATCAGGAGCCACGTAGTAGGAGCTCAGGCAGTGTTGTGCACTCATTTGAGAATTTTGGATATGAATTTAAAATTAGACCAGTCATCAGTAATCACATGTGACTTGTAAGCACCAAGAAATAAATAGTTATTGTTAAATGCAGTGGTACTCTCCAGTTGTTCACTGAATAAACAAATGAATGAATACAGTATTATATAAAACATTTGGATGGGGAGGAGGAAGGGAAATAAAGAATGTGTATCTGTCTTATAACCTACTTGAAGGAGACAAAACATAATTATTTGAGAACAAAGCATATTTTAACAGGCACAAACATTAAGTTTTCCAGTTGAAGTTATAAATTCTGAAAGAAATACAGCATAGTGGCATATTTAAAATAGGATGTAGTTAACATGGGAAATAATTCCCGAAGTTAAGTTTCAAATCAGATCTCAAAAGTTCCCAGGGAAACGTGTTAACAAAAAACAGAGGTAAAAGGGGGAAAACTGTTAGATGTTTATGAGCAAGATGGATAGTAAGGGCTATGTTATATGTGGCCTTGTATAAGTTGAAAAGGACTTTGAGCTTGAAAGCAGGAATGAAGATAATTACTCTAATTTTTTTTTTTTGAGATGGAGTTTTGCTTTTGTTGCCCATGCTGGAGTGCAGTGGCGCAATTTCAGCTCACTGCAACCTCCACTCCTGGGTTCAAGTGATTCTCCTGCCTCAGGCCTCTCACGCAGCTGGGATTACAGGAACCCGCCCCCATGCCCAGCTAATTTTTTGTATTTTTAGTAGAGACGGGGTTTCATCATGTTGGCCAGGTTGGTCTCGAACTCCTGACTTCAGGTGATCCACCAGCCTCAGCCTCCCATCAGCCTCCTAAAGTGCAGGGATAACAGGCGTGAGCCACCGTGCCTGGCCATAATTACCGTTATTTAAGGAGTAACCTCTTTATGCTAAGCACTAACAGATCACTTACTCATCTGACAGGGGCTATTTATTTTGTATCTAAGCACTGTGCTAATTGTTTTACATATATTATTTCTAATATTCACACCACTACAAAATTACATACTATTATTAATTACTAATTATTAAAATTCCATTTTACAGATTAGGGAATTGTGACTCAGCATTTCAATAATTTGCTCAAGATTCCAGTTAGTGAGGAGTTGAGGTGGGATTTGAAGCCCAGGTCTCTGATTCCAAAGGCCATAGTCAATGTTCTGTGCTTCATTCCATTTAATTGTCTATTTACCTCATGTCAAGACAGGGGATAGCACAGTAGGGTGGGCAGACTAGGATAAATGTTCAACAGCAAGAGCGACCCCAAAATATAAATCTGATGAGCTTCTTTTGCACTTAATCTAGATTGTTTGCTAACAACCCTTCTCACCCTCAGCGCACTGGTCTTTGTCTTCAAAACAATAAGACAATCTCTTTCCTTCCCTAGAGCATTTACCTGAGCTGCACTTAGACCTCTCAAGTTTCTTCTCCCTCTTCCCATGCTAACCTCTTTATATCCTTTAGATTACAGCTTGTCACTTGTTCAAAGAGGCCTTCCTTGGCCATTCTATCTAAAATAGATCTCTGGTATTTTTCGTGTCTGCCACTTGTTTCCTAACATTTATCAAATTTTGCAGTTACCTTGTCAGTTTACTTTCTGGTGTTTTTCCAATATTATGCCCCATGGAACCAGCCACGTTGAGTCTTGTTTGCCTTTGATTTCTCAGAGCTGTGCTGTTCAATACAGAGGCCACCAACCACATGTGGCTAGTGACCACTGACAGCAAATGTGGTGTTGCCTTATTGTAATGTGCAGTTATGTATAAAATATGCACTGGCTTTTGAAGACTTGGTATGAGAAAAGAATGCATAAGATCTGAATTTTTTAAATGTTGATTACTTGTTGAAATACTTGGATAAATTGGGTTAAATACATAACTAAAATGTTCAGTTGTTTCTTTTACTTTTTAATCGTAGCTGCTAGAAGATTCCAGCCTACATATGTGACTCACATATTTCTAGGTTCTGAGACAGTGCCCTGGCCCATTTTATCGAACTAAATATCCAATGTCGAGAGGTCGAATGAATGGGTGAATGAAGAGGTATAGTCTCAAGCTTCCATTAGAAAAATAGATACAGCATTGCCGTGGAAGTTAGGAGATATGGGTTCTGGCACAGGATGCACTGGAAACGCCTTGGACAAGCCCTACCCTACTCTGGCCGTCAATGTGCCCATTAGATAGTATCTTTGAGGTCTGGAAGCTTACGAGAATCAGTGCAAGAGATATGTACCAGGAAAGCTGGATATAACGGCACTTGTCTTTTCCGCTCTAGCCTAAACACCTGAGGCTCGGCGGAGGCGGCGGGAATCAGGGACTACACCCCGAGAACCCAGTACCCGGGTCCCCGACTTCCCCGAGCCTACGTCACTGGGGCGCGACGGCGTTGTCCTCGGGACTGCAGCGGCTGAGAAATGCCATTCGGTGAAAGCGAGTTCCGGGCCAACAGAGGGTCACACCGTTTCCGAGTCTCTCGAAGGCTCAATTCTCAGTGCACCATTGCCCACCGCTCACCCTTTCACTTCACCCCTATCCGACTCTTGCCCCGGACCCTGTGAACCCAGCCCGGAGCGTCCAAAGCCGACTCTCATCGCGGCTGCGCAGGGCACGTGCACAACCTCGCAGAAGTCTCGGCGATTGGATGTGACGCGATTTCCGGCGTGAGCGGCGAAAGCCGGGAGAGCGAGCGAGAGTGCGACCAGGCAGCAGGCTGCCGGCGGGCGGGCGGACGGCACGGAGGGAGGGAACGAGCGAGCAGTGAGTGAGCCAGCGAGGGCGGCCGGGTCCCGAGGTCAGCCGAGATTCCGCAGGTACCTCTTGCCCCCTCCCCGGAGTCCACAGCGCCTCCGGTGTCCAGCGGATCGGACACGGCCCGGCCCGGCCATGGCCTCGTTGCTGAAGGTGGATCAGGAAGTGAAGCTCAAGGTAGCGGCACCGGTCCGGCCTTTTTGCCCCTAGCTTTGATCCCCCAGCAGTCTGAACGGCTTCTTACTCCCCATGGCGTCTTTGTCTCCCTGGGGATACCAGCTCTGAGCTTCCGCTCGGCTCAGCCCAGCCCCCAGCTCCCGGGGTCGGCTTCGCGGGAGAAGAAAATATAGGATGGCTTTCTGTTCCGCGTCTGATGATGAAGAGTGCGGGGGACACCTCTGCGGACACGTGTTGGACTCAGGGCTTTAGGCCGGTGACAGCTGGAAATCTCCCAGCCCAGCAATGTACCTGGGCACTGCCCCTGCCCTTGGTGGCTGCTCTGCCTCGTATCATAGGCCAGGTCTGGGTGGGGGTTGGCACGTTTGTGAGCTCACATCTCCCCTAACTACCTGTCTTTTGTCTGCTTATGAAATTCAGACAGCTTCAGACACAGGGAGGGAGAGGAGAGGAGACAAGCAGGTGCTGCCCTCAAGCCCTGCGTCCTTCTCCTGAGATGGAAAAATGGGTCCTCAAAAAAATAAAGTATTTGCAGTCTGGGGGCCTCTCAGCTTCTTATTACAGTTACAAGGTGAGGGAAAGACAGTTGGATTTGGGATTCTCTATCCTGCCCTTACCTCTGTCACCAGGTACTCAGTTGCTCTCTTTGTTAATTTTAGGTTGATTCTTTCAGGGAGCGGATCACAAGTGAGGTGAGTGAAATAAATAGAAAAATGGGTGTTGGTTAATTGAGAGTTTCCCAAAGAGGAGATACCTATATAGAGAGAGACCTTCCCACAGATACTAATCCAGCTGTATTTTCCCTCCTCTTTAGGCAGAAGACTTGGTGGCAAATTTTTTCCCAAAGAAGTTATTAGAACTTGATAGTTTTCTGAAGGTGAGAGACCCTTTTCTTTCCTCAAATTCCCCAATTTTTTTGGCCCTGGTTTTACTGTCAAGTGGGACAAATTGTGTGTTGATTCTTCTTTTTATTTTTTTAAACTGTAAAAGCACTTTCATTTCTTGCCCTTCAAATCAAATACTTCTTTGTTCAACTTGAAAAGATTAATGTTTTGGGGTGGGTGTCTTTCAGGAACCAATCTTAAACATCCATGACCTAACTCAGATTCACTCTGACATGAATCTCCCAGTCCCTGACCCCATTCTTCTCACCAATAGCCATGATGGACTGGATGGTGTAAGTGTCCTATGTTTGTAAGTGTCCTATGTTTGTCTTTGTGTTCTTGAGCAGTAGGTCCTCTGTCCTCTCTTTCTTTGTCAGTTTAACATGTACAGAGGGAACAGTGGGATTTGGACCTGGGAACTAGGACTCTGTTATAGACACCATGACTCTAGTGTACTCTTTTTATTTCTTTATTATTTTTTTTTTTGAGACGGAGTTTCGCTCATGTTACCCAGGCTGGAGTGCAATGGCGCGATCTCGGCTCACCGCAACCTCCGCCTCCTGGGTCCAGGCAATTCTCCTGCCTCAGCCTCCTGAGTAGCTGGGATTACAGGCACGCGCCACCATGCCCAGCTAATTTTTTGTATTTTTGGTAGAGACGGGGTTTCACCATGTTGACCAGGATGGTCTCGATCTCTTGACCTCGTGATCCACCCGCCTCGGCCTCCCAAAGTGCTGGGATTACAGGCTTGAGCCACCGCGCCTGGCCCCTCTTTTTATTTCTTATTTATTTATTTATTTTTGAGAAAGAGTGTCACTTTTTTTTTTTTTTTTTGGCCCGGGCTGGAGTGTGGCAGCTCAAGCACTGCTTACTGCAGCCTTGACCTCCCGGACTCAAGCTGTTTTCTCTCCTCAGCCCCCCAAGTAACTGGGACTACAGGAGTGTGCCACCATGCCCAGCTGATTTTTGTATTTTTTGTAGAGATGGGGTTTCGCCATAATGCCCAGGCTGGTCTCAACTCCTAAGCTCAAGCAATCAACCCAACTCGGCCTCCCAGAGTTGGGACTACAGGCGTGACCCACTGCATGGGGCCTCTAGTATATTCCCTTTAGACCCTGAGTTTCATTTATGACATGAAGTTAATATGCTAATGCTACTCAGTGTTAGAGTGAGTTTCAAATAAAACTGGCTTCATCAGGTTACCCGGATTTTCCCATGGCTCTGAAGAAGACTTTACTTATCTTTTTTCTATGTCCTGAGTAGTATTATGGGATACAAAGTTGTTCTTGCTGTATAACTGCAATCACAGTCTTTGCTCTGCATTTTTAACACCTAGTTCTTATCAGTCATGTGTCCACATGCTGTTAGAACACTGATGATACTATATTATAGTCTATAGTACTGCCTCACTAATGGAACTTGTATATCTGGAAGACAGGATCTATTTTTTTTTTTTTTTTTTTTACAGAGTCTCACTCTGTTGCCTAGGCTAGAGTGCAGTGGTACGATCTTGACCTACTGCAACCTCTGCCTCCCAGGTTCAAGTGATCTCCCGCCTCAGCCTCCTGCGTAGGTGGGATTGCAGGTATACACCAACACGCCTGGCTAATTTTTTAATTTTTAGTGGTGACAGGGTTTCACCATGTTGGCCAGACTGGTCTCGAACTTCTGACCTCAAGTGATCCGCCCACCTTGGCCTCCCAAAGTGCTGCCATTACAGGCATGAACCACCATGGTCCAGCTGGAAGGAACTATTTTAATCTTTGTATTCCCAGCACCTAGCGTTGATCCTGGTCTATGGCAGTTGCTAAATACATGTCTGTTGACTGAATAATGTGCTCCTTTGTAGAACCAGCAGATTTGTACATATTCCCTTAATTATCTTCCCTGCTTTGATTGGTTCTTTTTTCTTATTCTTTATAATGCTTAATATATTGTGTTTCTGGAAAGATAGGTCTTCCCAACTAGAGCATAATTTGCTTTGTGGCAAGAACATTTTCTTTCTTTTTTAGAGGGGGAACAGAGGCTGGCTCTGTCACCTAGGCTGGAGTGCAGTGACACAGTCTCGGCTCGTTGCAGCCTCAAAGTCTTGGGCTCAAGCCATCCTCCTACCTCAGCCTCTCAGGTAGCTGGGACTGCAGGCACATATGCCATCATGTCCAGCTAGTTTTTGTATTTTTTGTGGGAGATGGGGTTTCCCTACATTGCCTAGGCTTGTCTCAAGCAATCCGCATGCCTCGGCCTCCCAAAGTGCTGGGATTACTGGCATGAGCCACGGCGCCCAGCCCAAGAATCTTCTTTTTCTTTCTTTTTTTTTTTTTGAGAAGAGTTTTGCTCTTGTCACCCAGGCTGGAGGTCAGTGGTGTGATCTCAGCTCACTGCAACCTCCGCCTCCCAGGTTCAAGCGATTCTCCTGCCTCAGCCTCCCAAGTAGCTGGGATTATAGGCGCCTGCCACCACGCCCAGCTAATTTTTTGTATTTTTAGTAGAGATGGGATTTTGCCATGTTGACCAGGCTGGCCTCGATCTCCTTACTTCAGGTCATCCACCCACCTGGGCCTCCCAAGGAGCTGGAATTACACGTATGAGCCACTGCACCCAGCCTCCAAGAACCTTTTCTTTTTTTTTTTGAGATGGAGTTTCGTTCTTGTTACCCAGGCTGGAGTGCAATGGCACGATCTTGGCTCACCGCAACCTCCGCCTCCTGGGTTCAGGCAATTCTCCTGCCTCAGCCTCCTGAGTAGCTGGGATTACAGGCACGCACCTCCATGCCCAGCTAATTTTTTGTATTTTTAGTAGAGATGGGGTTTCACCATGTTGACCAGGATGGTCTCGATCTCTTGACCTCGTGATCCACCCGCCTCGGCCTCCCAAAGTGCTGGGATTACAGGCGTGAGCCACCGCGCCCGGCCAAGAACCTTTTCTTAAAGCTTTATATGTACTTAGGAAATTGTACAGCAATTAATAACACAAACTATGAGGCTGAGGAAGGGATTAAACTTGTTTGAAGGGTATCTTGTGATGGAGATGTGGGTGTCAAAAGCAGGCTTATCCCTGCCTCTTTGTATCCGTAGCCCACTTATAAGAAGCGAAGGTTGGATGAGTGTGAAGAAGCCTTCCAAGGTAAGAGCCACCCTTACCTCCTCTCCCCTCACCCCACCCCTGACTTGCAGCCCTGAGAAGCAAGATGGATCTGGTGTTCTCCTGACCAGGAAGCAAGATCTAATCTTATTTCCCGGAAGTAGCATTCCCAGCTCCTCCAAACCTGCTAATTATTTAGTGCTCTAAACCTGGTTTTCCAATAAATAGAGAGTTTAAGGCTTTTGTCATATTTTAGATGCTCATCTGTTGTTCTTTTGTTCCATGCATTCTCATTGATTCTAATAGTGGTGTCATGGTAGGATTGTGACAAATGGAAGGCAGAGGTCATAGCATGTGATAGGTATAGGGAAAATGAGAGAAAAGTAGGGGATGCTGTGTCCTTTCCTCTTCCCTGATCGTTTGACCTTCATATCTCTGCCAGGAACCAAGGTGTTTGTCATGCCCAATGGGATGCTGAAAAGCAACCAGCAGCTGGTGGACATTATTGAGAAAGTGAAACCTGAGATCCGGCTGCTGATTGAAAAATGTAACACGGTGAGGCACAGGCTAGTGACCTATGGGCCAGCCCCAAGTACCCCACTTGAAGTACAAAAAACAGTGGGTGTAGGGGTGGTATGGGAATTGACAGACTAGGTTTTGTGTGTGTGTGTGTGTGTGTGTGTGTGTGTGTGTGTGTGTGTGTGTGTTTTGAGATGGAGTCTTGCTCCATCACCCAGGTTGGAGTACAGTGTTGCCATCTTGGCTCACTGCAACCTCTGCCTTCTGGGTTCAAGGGATTCTTCCGCCTCAGCCTCCCGAGTAACTGAGATTACAGGCACCTGCCAACACACCCAACTAATTTCTGTATTTTTAGTAGAGACAGGGTTTTACCATGGTGGGCCAAGCTAGTCTCAAACTCTTGACCTCAGGTGATCCACCTGCCTTGGCCTCCCAATTTGTTGGGATTACCAGCGTGAGCCACCGTGCCTGGCCAGACTAGGTATTTTGACTTCTCTGTTCCTGGCATCTGGCCCCAGCAGTCTGAATTGTGTACTTCATGGCTTCAGCCTTCAGGCAAAGGTCCTCATATATTTTTTGGCATCCAGGTCAAAATGTGGGTACAGCTCCTGATTCCCAGGATAGAAGATGGAAACAACTTTGGGGTGTCCATTCAGGTAATATACCTGCATCATGAACTAGGAAGAGAGGTTTGGGAGAGATACTCTCATCTCTCCTGCCTTATCTTTCTTCTCTGGGGCTGCTGTGGATGACATGGCTTTTGATGCACCTGTTGTTTGTTTGTTTGTTTTAGGAGGAAACAGTTGCAGAACTAAGAACTGTTGAGAGTGAAGCTGCATCTTATCTGGACCAGATTTCTAGGTAGGGCCGCTTGGGCTTGGCCCAGGCACTGGGGGCTGATGAGGTGGTGGGCATCATCAAGGGTCTCCTGCAGCTTCCTCCTCTTCTCTCTCCTTCCAGATATTATATTACAAGAGCCAAATTGGTTTCTAAAATAGCTAAATATCCCCATGTGGTAAGTAAGGGGTTTGTGGCCTGAGGGTGGAGGTGGCAGCATAGTGAAGAGTGACTACTACTGGAAAGGGGCTGTCTGGGAGCAGCTGGGCCTCGGGGACTAGCTTTTGCCTCTACCCTCCTTGCAGGAGGACTATCGCCGCACCGTGACAGAGATCGATGAGAAAGAATATATCAGCCTTAGGCTCATCATATCAGAGCTGAGGAATCAATATGTGAGTAACCTCAATCCTTGTCCATAGTTGCTGTGGTTTCTCTTAGTTGAGAATATTGAAATTCTCTGAAGGGCAAAGATGAGGGTCTGAGGTAAAATGAGTAGACCAAATTCTGTTCATGAACTCAATGTTGAGAAGCATGAAGTCATCTAGCAGGGTATCTCGCTTCCTTCTACCTGAGTGGAGGGGTGTGCAATATAGTATGGTTAAGATGTGGGTGTCAGAGTCAGACAGACTTAGGTTTGCAACCAGGTCTACCTGTATTGTGTGACCTGGAGCAAATTGTGCAAGCTCAAACTTCAATTTCTTCTTTAAAATGGGACTGAAGAGGCCAGGCATGGTGGCTCACACCTGTAATCTCAGCACTTTGGGAGGCCGATGTGGGCGGATCACAAGGTTAGGAGTTCAAGACCAGCCTGGCCAACATGGTGAAACCCTGTCTCTACTAAAAATACAGAAAAATTAGCCAGGCGTGGTGGCAGACGCCTGTAATCCTAGCTACTCCAGAGGCTGAGGCAGGAGAATCGCTTGAACCCAGGAGGCAGAGGTTGCAGTGAACCAAGATTGCACCACTGCACTCCAGCCTGGGCAACAATACTGTAACTCCGATTTTAAAAAAGGGGTGGGGGGGGGGACTGAAGAGTACCTACTGCACAAAATTGTTTTGTTTTGTTTTGTTTTTTTAAGTAAGTGAGATAACACATTAAAGGACTTGGTGCAATTCTCACTATGTTTAGGGCACAATACATGTTGTTATTAGACACTGGGGCCTTGGAAATACCCATTTACACCCAGTTGTAGTGTAAGAGAGGTGGTGCTGCCACCCTGAATGCAGGCTCAAGTGAGATTAGAATTACAGTAAGTCACGGCCGGGCGCGGTGGCTCAAGCCTGTAATCCCAGCACTCTGGGAGGCCGAGGCGGGTGGATCACGAGGTCAAGAGATCGAGACCATCCTGGTCAACACGGTGAAACCCCGTCTCTACTAAAAATACAAAAACATTAGCTGGGCATGGTTGCGCGTGCCTGTAATCCCAGCTACTGAGGAGGTTGAGGCAGGAGAATTGCCTGAACCCAGGAGGCGGAGGTTGCGGTGAGCCGAGATCGCGCCATTGCACTCCAGCCTGGGTAACAAGAGTGAAACTCCGTCTCAAAAAAAAAAAGAATTACAGTAAGTCCTCACTTAACATTGTCCATAGGTTCTTAGAAACTGAGACTTTAAAAATGATGTATATCAAAACCAAGATTTTTTTTCATTTGCATTGTAACAAAATGACATTGAACAAAGTGACGTTATTTGAAACTATGTTATTTGGGGACTTTCTGTACTTGGTTTGTTTGCCTGCTGTACTTTGATTTGCTTAAAGTCAAAGTTGCTAAGAACTTATTGATGACATTAAGGACTTACTGTATGCAAATGATTGCTTGGGGATTTGTGTGGGGGGGTCTCTCATTTTCTTGGTGAGGTAAGGCTGTACAGATGTGTGATTCCCCTGATTCCTCTTCTCCCAGGTCACTCTACATGACATGATCCTGAAAAATATCGAGAAGATCAAACGGCCCCGGAGCAGCAATGCAGAGACTCTGTACTGAGGCCAGGGCCAGGGCCAGGGGACTTTGTGAGTCTGGCTCAAGACCGACATTGCCTTGGTTTGTTACATGACTATCGTGATGGGGAAGCTGGCTGGAAATAGTAATCACACCTCTCTGTTTTTAGTTAGAGTCTAATGAAGCTCTCATCTAGTTCTGTGATGTGTTTACCTCTTTTTTCAGGCCTCAGGAACTCTTCTATTTCCTTCCCTAATACCCCACACCCAACCTGTCCTAATTTCTGGAGAACTCCAGGTTTGTGTGTGCAGGATGTTGGCACAAAAATACTTGTGTTTCCACTCTCCTCTCCCTCCTGTGTCTTGGGCTTTATGTTTTCTTCCTTTTGATGATTAGTTGGTTAAAAGCTGAGGGAATTGGAGGAAAAGTGCCAGGTGTTTTTGAGGAACTGGGGTGGCGGCAGGGGGGACCAACTCTTCCTCACATGAGGTTACTGTCTTTCCTCTATGGGCATTGGATCCTCCCAAGTTGCCCTGGTGATGACTTAGGGCTTCACATCTGTGTACATCCCACCTTGAATCTTGATCATGACGAGAAACACCTTAGGCCTTCAGTCAATTCCCAAGCTCCTTCAGATGTTTTTATAATGGGGGTTTTCACATGCACATATGTGTATGCATGTATACACCCATACAGACATGCACACACACCCTCCTACTCCATTGCCTAACATACCCTCTCTTTCCATGATCCCTGTCACATACCTTTCAGGAGGTGATGGTTGTCTTAGTTGTCGTCTACCCAGACAAACATCTTGGGCCTGTCCTCCCTCCTGATACTGTAGCCTGTTGGTACCCAGGGTGAGTTGGTGGAGAACAGAGATGAGAAGCAGAGGACTAGGAGAAGGCCTGTCCCTCTCTGACTCAGCCCTTTTTGTCATTATTGCAAAAGCTGGTCCTCTTGACTCCTGGTTGCCTTTTCCCACGCAGTTGTCAGTTGTGGTGAAGGTGTCTGCAAGTGTGAGGTCCAGATGCTGCTGCTCATGTTGGGCTTTCCTTTCAGGAAATACTCTCTTATATATGTAGTGTTGGGCCTCCATGGAAAGCAGTCATTGATGTGTATGTGTGTGTGCACACACACATGCATATACATGTTTGTGTATGTGGAAATGCGCTAGGCAAGTGAAAACTATAGAAGAGTTGCCTCCTGTCTCTTGAATCTTCCAGAGATACCACTTAACTGTTAACAGCTTTTGTGTTAATCCCCATCAGGCCCCAGCTCTTTTATTCCACCACTGCTGGAGAGTTGATATCTGCAGTCAGCCTGCCCGTGACTCTCAGTGTCTGTTTCTGACTTTTATTCTTCCTGTCTCTGTCTTCCAACCCCCAATAATATTTCCACCTGGCTTTTTTTACTCCCAATATTCTGTAGAGAAGGAGTCAGGGTGCTGTCTTCCCACGAATAGTACTCAGTAACAAACCAATTGCATTTTAGTTGGGCAGTGCCCCCGCCCACCCTCCAGATCCCTTCCAGCTGAAACCCTTCCCTCCTCCCACCATGTGTTCCTCAGTTTCCCTTTCTGTTTGTTGGATTGTTCCGCTGCTGCCCCTCCTCACCCTACCACCCTTGGATCGTAATGTAAAATTCTTTTACCATGTCAAGAAATTATTAAAAATACAGGTACTTTGACCTCTTTCTAAAGCTGCAGACCCTGGTGCAGTGCTCCGGTGGCTCAGGACGTACTCATGCTCACGTGTGCACGTTTGGACACCCACCTCCATGGACACCTAGCCATCCTGTCGTGTGTCCTGATGCCAGTCAAGCCGAATCTTTTCCCCAGTATAGTGGAAAGACTCAGGCTTCTGCCTACCAAGCAAGGGTTGGTCCTTCATTTGTGTTCAGTCTGAATTACTGGAAAGTTAGTTCTTCCCAGACCTAAGCTGCCTTCTCTCCCTACTTTCAGATCCTTGTTCCTTCCTTCCCCGGTGATACCCATGAACTGCCAGTAGAGGCTGCTATAGTTCCGTGTGTAGGGAATGAACTGGTTCAAGGCATGTCCTACCCAGTCATTTTCTTTACCTTATATGAATCCTCCCTGAATAATGTCTTAAGTTTCTTGAGGAGACTCCTAGTTTTGCTTTTCACATTACTTGGAGGGCTGCCTAGGAATCTGTCTCCCTCTGAAATAAAGTTTCCTCAACTTCCACCTTGCAAGTAGCCTTCTGGTTTCCAGTGATCCCCTCGTGGTCTCTGTAAAAAGAGTCTAAGGTCTTGAGCAGTGGAAGGCAGCTGCTATGTTGTGTTTCAGAGATGACTACCAAAAGCCAGCAGTTTGTGAGTGCCTCCCCTGGGCCAGGCTGTTAAGTTCCTGATGTGCATGGTGACATTTAATCTTAAGGAATCTGTAGAGTGGTTGTATCCATTTGTTACAGATGAGGACACTGAGACTCAGGACGAGTAGTTCCGCTAAGGTTACACAGCTTAGGGAACTGGGATTGGTGGACAAACCTGATTACTAAGCCCAGGCCCTCAGCCACTCCTCTGGATGGAAAAGGCCTGAGACTACAAATTAAGGGCTTGGCATTAGGCCACAGGCAGAATTCAGTGCTTACTGCTGAACAAGGCAGTGCATCCTGGAGCTTTGGGATGCAGCTCCTGCCAGGAGGTAGGAAAATGTACAGTTTAGTGCTTGCAAGCAGGCTGCAGAACTTAATTGGGCATCTGAGGTTTGTACTCTTCCTGAGACCCATTCTGGGTGGAAACTGGAGGTCAGCATTGTTAACTCTGATTCCCTCTCATCTGGTCTAAATGATGGAAATCAGTAGTTGGTACTGACTGCTACCAGTGGGAGTTCAGGGGCGAGGAAGAGGCTGTGCATGTGGAAGTAGTGCCTTGGGCCAAACCACAGGACAGAAAATTGGAACAGAATTATATAAAACAAGGTCAGAAATTTCCTGTCCAACCCATGGGGTGGAGTTTTCTCCATCTCTCTCCATCCTAGTGAATATAAACCTGGACTTGATGTCAGTAACTGGAAGGAGCAGCTGTTAGAACTCTGATTTCAGCTCTCAGCATCCGCCATGCATCTCAAGATAGTCCTGGCTTTCCTGGCACTGTCGCTCATTACCATCTTTGCCCTGGCCTATGTTTTGCTGACCAGCCCTGGTGGTTCCAGCCAGCCTCCCCGCTGCCCCTCTGTATCCCACAGGGCCCAGCCCTGGCCACACCCTGGCCAGAGCCAGCTGTTTGCAGACCTGAGCCCAGAGGAGCTGACAGCTGTGATGCGCTTTCTGACCCAGCGACTGGGGCCAGGGCTGGTGGATGCAGCCCAGGCCCGGCCCTCGGACAACTGTGTCTTCTCAGTGGAGCTGCAGCTGCCTCCCAAGGCGGCAGCCCTGGCCCACCTGGACAGGGGGAGTCCCCCACCTGCCCGGGAGGCACTGGCCATCGTCCTCTTTGGTGGACAACCCCAGCCCAACGTGAGTGAGCTGGTGGTGGGGCCGCTGCCTCACCCCTCCTACATGCGGGATGTGACTGTGGAGCGTCATGGTGGGCCCTTGCCTTATCACCGTCGCCCGCTGCTGAGAGCTGAGTTTATGCAGATGTGGACACATCTGAAAGAGGTGGAGCTACCCAAGGCACCCATCTTCCTGGCTTCCGCCTTCAACTACAATGGCTCTACCTTGGCAGTTCTGCATGCCACCCCTCGGGGCTTGCGCTCGGGGGACCGAGCTACCTGGATAGCCCTCTACCATAACATCTCAGGTGTTGGTATTTTCCTTCACCCTGTGGGGCTGGAGCTACTACTGGACCACGGGGCCCTGGACCCTGCCCACTGGGCTGTCCAGCGGGTCTTCTACCTTGGGCGCTACTATGCAGACTTGGGCCAGTTGGAACAGGAATTTAAGTCTGGCCGGTTGGAAGTGGTTAGAGTCCCTCTACCCCCACCAAATGGGGCGTCATCCCTGAGGCCTCGGAATTCCCCAGGTCCTCCTCCCCCTCTGCAGTTCTCGCCCCAGGGTTCCCAATACAGTGTGCAAGGAAATCTGGTGGTATCCTCCCTCTGGTCATTTACCTTTGGCCATGGGGTGTTCAGCGGCCTGAGGGTTTTTGATGTTCGGTTCCAGGGTGAGCGAGTGGCCTATGAAGTCAGTGTCCAGGAGTGCTTGTCTATCTATGGTGCTGATTCACCCAAGACAATGGTGACTCGCTATCTGGATAGCAGCTATGGACTTGGCCGTAACAGCCGAGGCTTGGTGCGGGGAGTGGACTGCCCCTATCAAGCCACAATGGTGGACATCCATATATTAGTGGGCAAAGGGACAGTCCAGCTTCTCCCGGGGGCTGTGTGTGTATTTGAGGAAGCCCAGGGACTGCCTCTTCGAAGGCACCACAATTACCTTGAAAATCATTTCTATGGTGGTTTGGCCAGCTCAGCCCTTGTGGTCAGGTCTGTGTCGTCTGTGGGCAACTATGACTACATTTGGGACTTTGCGTTCTACCCAAATGGGGCACTTGAAGGGCGGGTCCATGCTACGGGCTATATCAACACCGCTTTCCTGAGAGGGGGAGAGCAGGGCCTCCTGTTTGGGAACCGTGTGGGGGAGCAAGTGCTGGGAGCGGTGCACACACATGCCTTCCACTTCAAGCTGGATCTGGATGTGGCAGGTGAGTGCTGAGTGGATGAGGATGGAGGTTGGGGTGGGGTGGGCAGAGGGAAAGGAAGGGAATCTCCCTGGTCAAGCTGAGATCTTGAGTGGCAAGAGTGAGGTGTTCCAGCACCACAGCTCTAGTGGCAACAGAGCAGGGACTATGAGCATATTCAGTGCAGTCAGCCTGGTACTGGGCTACTGGGTATCTGGCAAAAGGTGAAAGGTATTCCCCCTCCCAGCCCTTCTGACTTGCTGTGATTGTGAAACTAGTTTAAATGTAATGCTGGGCATGATTGCCTTAGCCTCAAGTGACACTGGGTAGGTGAACTGGCCCTATCAGAGGCCCAGTGGGGCTGGAGTTGGAGCACTTTGCTTCTTCCTATTTCTGAGGGCCAGTGGGGGTGGGGAGAGCAGGGATCTGAGCTGAGGTCGGAAGCAGTCTATCCAGAGTCTTCAGGGTGGGGGTGGACCTGGGGGCTTGGGAAGGGGAGGGTACTATAGCTGGGGTTGTTCCCCAGGATAGGGCCACTCCTCGTTGGGAGGGCCATCTCATTCCTGTCATCTCCTGACTCTGGTGACATGGCAGACAGCTTGGTGCAGGTATGGAAAGGGATTTTTCAAGCACAAAGGGCTCAAAGCACAGACTACTTGCTGTTCCTGACAGACTGTCAAGGACAGAAAAACTTGAGAATCACAGACATTTAGATCCACAAAGAAAATCTCACTGGACCCTCTCCATTTTAAGGGAAACTAAGGAAGGTGGGGGGAAATGGGACAGAAAGTGACTGCCCAAGTATAATGCAACATAAACTAAACTTGTATTTCTTGCGCAATGTTTCCTCATCCTCATGGCATGTGTGTGCCTGTGTGTGTCTGTGTGCATGCACTTGCACTATGGTCGCAGTGGGCTGGAGGGCAGGGAGGACTAATAGCATGTTTGAAATGATCATATTAACTAGATTATTCTTTGACTTACTTGGATTTTGACTGTCTTCTGATTGGAAGTTTTTCTTCAGCATCTTTGGCATTAAAGAGCCTTGTTTTGGGAAGTAACATTTATTGGATCCCTAGCATGGGCGGCTGCTGTGGGCCAGAGAGGCTGTGTCAGGCACCAGTGCACAGGATGGCTTCAGAGGCACCAGCGTCAGCAGTGTCTCCTGTGCCAAGTGTCTTCATATAGGTCTCATTTAAAGGAACTAACAGTCCAGACCTGCAGAAAGTGTGTGGCCAAGTGCTGAGTTAGGCAATGCAAGTTATGGATGCTGTAGAATTCTAAGGAGCTCCCAGACAAAGGTGTGAATATGCTTGCTTCTGAAAAAGACTGACAGTACTTCCTACCTTGCTGAGATCAAAAGTGAAGCCTCAGAGCAGGGAGGAGTATGTGGGGGACCATGGGAAAGGATTGGGTTTTCTTTTCTTTTTTTGAGGCAGAGTCTCACTGTCACCGAGGCTAGAGTGCAGTGGTGCTATCACAGCTCACTGCAGTCCCAGTCTCCTGGGCTAAAGCAATCCTCCTGCCTCAACCTCCTGAGTAGCTGGGACAACAGGCACACACCACCACGCCCAGCTTTTTTTTTTTTTTTTTTTTTTTGAGACAGTCTAACTGTCACACAGGCTGGAGTGCAGTGGTACAATCTCAGCTCACCACAACCTCCACCTTCCAGGTTCAAGCGATTCTTGTGCCTCGGCCTCCAGAATAGCTGGGATTACAGGCATGCACCACCTCCAGCTAATTTTTTTAGTAGACACGGGGTTTCACCATGTTGACCAGACTGGTCTTGAACTCCTGGTCTCAAGTGATCCACTCACCTCAGCCTCCCAAAGTACTATGAGCTACCATGCCCAGCCTTTTTTATTTTATTTTATTTTATTTTTTTTATTTTATTTTTTTTTTTTTGAGACGGAGTTTCACTGTTGTTGCCCAGGCTGGAGTGCAATGGCGTGATCTCGGCTCACCGCAACCTCTGCCTCCTGGGTTCAGGCAATTCTCCTGCCCCAGCCTCCTGAGTCGCTGGGATTACAGGCACGCGCCACCATGCCCAGCTAATTTTTTGTAGTTTTAGTAGAGACGGGGTTTCACCATGTTGACCAGGATGGTCTCGATCTCTTGACCTCGTGATCCACCCGCCTCGGCCTCCCACAGTGCTGGGATTACAGGCTTGAGCCACCGCGCCCGGCCTTTTTTATTTTTTTTTTAAGGCAGTATTTCATTCTGTTACCCCAGCTGGTCTCCAGCACCTGGGCTCGAAGGATCTGCACCACCCTGCCACCAGCCTCCCGAGTCACAAGCCCCCACACCCGGCTCGGGAGTCAGTTTTTCAGCTAGCTTGTCCAAGACAAATATTATTATCCCTTTCATAGTTAAAAGAATGTCACCAGTCAACTGCATGTGCTTTTCTGTTTATTGGCAACAGCCATGGAACAGCTTTAATTATGCCCAGTGTAGGGATTCAGAAAATGAATCTGCGAAGCAAATTAGTCTAGGGACTGTTGGGTAGTCCATTGCTAATAGAACTTTCTACAGGGATAGAAATGTTCTATATTTGTCCTGTGACTCTAAACAATAGCCACTATCCATGTGTGGCCACTGGGTACTTTTAATGTGGTTAGTGTCAGGGACTGATTTTATTTTATTTTATTTTATTTTTTTTGAGACAGGGTCTTGCTCTGTTGCCCAGGCTGGAGTGCAGTGGTGTGAACTCAGCTCACTGTAGCTACAACCTCCTGGGCTCCAGCGATCCTCCCACCCCAGCTTCCCAAGTGGCTGGGACCACAGGCATGCACCTCCATGCCTGGCTGATTTTTTTGTTGTTTGTAGAGTCAGGGTTTTGCCACGTTGCACAGGCTGGTCTCAAACTCCTGGGCTCACATGATCCACCTGCCTCAGCCTCCCGAAGTGCTGGAATTGCAGGTATGAACCACCTCACCTGGCCCTGAATTTTAATTTTCATAGCCACGAATTTTAATTTTCATAGCCACATATGGCTAGTGGCTACCCTATTGGACAGGGTAAGTGGGAAGAAGATAAGAGTTTTCGCTTGCCCAGACCTCCTGGCTTCCAGCGCAGTGCGCTCTGATGCTCTCTGCCTTTTGTCACACCAGTGCAGTGGACATCATGGAAAAGACAGGGATCTGGCCCAGAGACCTTACCTGGTATGGAACTCATCTTCCTTCCCTCACCCTGGCAGGGCTGAAAAACTGGGTGGTAGCTGAAGATGTGGTGTTTAAACCTGTGGCCGCCCCCTGGAACCCAGAGCACCAGCTACAGCGCCCACAGCTGACTCGGCAGGTCCTGGGAAAGGAGGACCTGGCAGCTTTTTCCTTGGGAAGTCCCCTACCCCGCTACCTCTACCTGGCTAGCAACCAGACTAATGCCTGGAATCACCAGCGTGGGTACCGAATCCAGATCCACAGCCCCCTTGGCATACACATGCCCCTGGAGAGTGACATGGAGAGGGCCCTCAGCTGGGGGAGGTGAGGAGGGCCCGGGACTGGGTGGAAGGGAAGGACTGTCCCTCCCCCACCCCAGCCCTTGGAGACTCCAACTCCCTGCCCATGGCTACCATTCATCCCTGTACCTCCCCTCACACCCAAGTTAGATACACAGTGGGAAGAGGTCTCACACAGAATCTGATGTAAGGGACTTCTGGGCCAGTAAAGGCACTTGGCATTTTCCAACACCACCTTCTTGACAACGATTCCTGGTCAGATACCAGCTTGTGGTGACCCAGAGAAAGGAGGAGGAGTCACAGAGCAGTAGCATCTATCACCAGAATGACATCTGGACACCCACAGTTGCCTTTGCTGACTTCATCAACAATGAAACCCTCTTAGGAGAGGTTGGTTGCCCTAGGGATGGAGGAAAGGGACACCTGTGGGCATGGCATCTTGGCTATCCAGCCTCTAGCCATAGGTTAGGGGGAGTGGCTAATTTCCAGTTCACAGGTTCAGAGGCCATGCAGTTTTCTGATGACCAACACAGGTCATCCCTCCTGGGGTGAGATTGGCTCTGGGACACTGGCTCCCTGTCTCCCCACACAGCTGCTCATGTTGGTTGCTCCTCTTGTATAGGCACAAGCCTGGCTGAGTGGAAGCCAGGCTGAGGCTGGAGGCTGGGATTGTGGCTTAAGGGTGGTTCTTCGGGTCTTGCTTCCATAGTCCTCCAGCTCCTCCCTCTTCCTGCAGGACCTGGTGGCTTGGGTCACAGCCAGCTTCCTGCACATTCCCCATGCGGAGGACATCCCCAACACAGTGACTCTGGGGAACAGAGTTGGCTTCTTGCTCCGACCCTATAACTTCTTTGATGAGGACCCCTCCATCTTCTCCCCTGGCAGCGTCTACTTTGAGAGGGACCAGGACTCTGGGCTCTGCAGCGTCAATCCCGTGGCCTGCCTCCCCAACCTGGCAGCCTGTGTCCCAGACTTGCCCCCTTTCTCCTACCATGGCTTCTAATCCTGAGGGTGTTGGGGGCCGTGGTTAGGCACAGGTACCTTTCTCTGTTTCCACCTTCTGTTCATGTGCTTTTACCACACCTGCTGCCCAGATTCCCACCCTCTCAATGTTCCTCTCACGGTAAACCCCCATCCGTCCCTTTGGTTAATTCGTACTTCCTGTTCATTTCTAAAATGTTAAATTATAAAAATGATTTTTAAATATTCAGGCAAAAATACCACAAATCTTACTAAGAAAGAGCTGGCGTTCACATTATAGGAGACATTTCTTTATGCATGTGCATTCAAAAAGAAAAGCAGATAGAATTTTGGAAAACATGTTATATGTAATTTATAATAAAAAATATGAGAGGAATTTTACTTGAATTTATTGTTTGACATTTTAAGTGTCTAGGGTTTTCCAGAGAATACTAAGGACTCTGGCCAGGGAACTTAGCGACGACGGAAGACAGAGGGTAATGGGGATAGACCTGGCCAAGGAATGTTGTTTGGAAAGCAAAAGGGGCAGGGGGTGGGGGGGTCTTTGGAAGGAGAACAATAGTGTGAAGTTACAGGAAAGAACATCTGGCCCTGACTAAGTCGGGGGTTGGGGAAGAAGCTGGGCTGAGGGCAAGCGAGGCTGCTCTGCACAGATCCCCTCCCTTCCCGGGATGAGCTGCATTTTCATGCTCAGGCTGGCTGGCTGCATTATCTCGAAATTTTCCTTCCCCTTCCCCCCAGCCTCAACTCTCCCCAACTCCAACCCTGACCCACAGCGTAGAGTCTGATTTGGAGCATGGAAGACAAAACCATGTAAGGTCTGTGGAAATCACAGCTGCTCAGACCCGCCTCCGGCTCTGGCCACCCCGCCCCCTTGCCCCAGCCTCCCTGTGTCCTTCCCACCCTTAGTCCCAGGCATCTGACTACTGGGAACCTCAGCCAGAGTCCAGGAGCGCCCCCCGCCACCATCAGAGCCCCCGTCTTGCTGGCCTGAGAATACATTGCTCTCCTTTGGTTGAATCTGCTATCCGTCTTCACTGGAAAATGAACCAGAAGACCATCCTGGTGCTCCTCGCTCTCGCTGTCATCACCATCTTTGCGTTGGTTTGTGTCCTGCTAGTGGGCAGGGGTGGAGATGGGGGTGAACCCAGCCAGCTTCCCCACTGCCCCTCCATATTTCCCAGTGCCCAGCCTTGGCCACACCCTAGCCAGAGCCAGCTGTTTGCAGACCTGAGCCCAGAGGAGCTGACAGCTGTGATGCGCTTTCTGACCCAGCGGCTGGGGCCAGGGCTGGTGGATGCAGCCCAGGCCCGGCCCTCGGACAACTGTGTCTTCTCAGTGGAGCTGCAGCTGCCTCCCAAGGCGGCAGCCCTGGCCCACCTGGACAGGGGGAGCCCCCCACCTGCCCGGGAGGCACTGGCCATCGTCCTCTTTGGTGGACAACCCCAGCCCAACGTGAGTGAGCTGGTGGTGGGGCCGCTGCCTCACCCCTCCTACATGCGGGATGTGACCGTGGAGCGTCATGGAGGCCCCCTGCCCTATCACCGCCGCCCCGTGCTATTCCGAGAGTACCTGGACATAGACCGGATGATCTTCGACAGAGAGCTGCCCCAGGCTTCTGGGCTTCTGCACCACTGTTGCTTCTACAAGCCCCGGGGACGGAACCTGGTGACAATGACCACGGCTCCCCATGGTCTACAGTCAGGGGACCGGGCCACCTGGTTTGGCCTCTACTACAACATCTCAGGGGCTGGGATCTTCCTCCACCATGTGGGCTTGGAGCTGCTGGTGGACCATAAGGCCCTGGACCCTGCCCGCTGGAGCATCCGGAAGGTGTTCTATCAAGGCCGCTACTATGACAGCCTGGCCCAGCTGGAGGCCCAGTTTGAGGCCGGCCTGGTGAACGTGGTGCTGATCCCAGACAATGGCACAGGTGGGTCCTGGTCCCTGAAGTCCCCTGTGCCCCCGGGTCCGGCTCCCCCTCTGCAGTTCTATCCCCAGGGTCCCCGCTTCAGTGTCCAGGAAAGTCGAGTGACCTCCTCACTGTGGACTTTCTCCTTTGGCCTCGGAGCATACAGTGGCCCAAGGATCTTTGACGTTCGCTTCCAGGGAGAACGACTAGCTTATGAGATCAGCCTCCAAGAGGCCTTGGTCATCTATGGTGGAAATTCCCCAGCAGCAATGGTGACCCGCTATGTGGATGGAAGCTTTGGCATGGGCAAGTACTCCACGTCCCTTACCCGTGGGGTGGACTGCCCCTACCTGGCCACCTACGTGGACTGGCACTTCCTTTTGGAGTCCCAGACCCCCAGGACAATACGCGATGCCTTTTGTGTGTTTGAGCAAAACCAGGGCCTCCCCCTGCGGCGGCACCACTCAAATCTCTACTCCTACTACTTTGGGGGCCTTGCGGAAACGGTGCTGGTCGTCAGATCTGTGTCCACTATGCTCAACTATGACTATGTGTGGGATATGGTCTTCCACCCCAGTGGGGCCATAGAATTCAGATTCCATACCACAGGCTACATCAGCTCAGCATTCCTCTTTGGTGCTACTGGGAAGTACGGGAACCAAGTTGCAGAGCACACCCTGGGCACAGTCCACACCCATAGCGCCCACTTCAAAGTGGATCTGGATGTAGCAGGTAAGGCATTTTGGTGGGGAGAAGGCTTCTGGAAGAAGGGCTGGAAAGTTGGTTCCATTTGCTCTGGGTTTTATATATATTATCCCAGAAAGAAAGATGTGGATTTTTATGCTTCCCCTTTTGCTGGATGAGAAAGAGTTGGCTGCTGAGTTTTATTTGGATCTTAGCTCACTGCCTGGGTGCAAAGCTGCAGCCTTCCTGCACGTGACCTCATCAGAAGATCTTGGGAAATGGCCAAGCTGAGGCAGGAGGCAGGAAGAGGGTCCCCATTGCCCTCTTCCCTCCCTTGTACTGATCTGGGCTCTGCTGCTGGGAGGCAGCCCTCTGCTTCTCAGCTCGTTTCTGTGTCTGGCCTGTGCTGCTGGTGTGTTGGAGGATCTCTTTGCATTCTACCAAGTCCCTGGCATGTGCAGGTCAGACATGGAACATTCTAGGTTGCACATTTCCTTTGGAGATGGACCCTCCTCCTTTCTGATTTTCCTTCTTTCTCTGGGCACAATTCACTTAAGTGTGAGGGGTCGCATGGATCCCGTGGAGCATTCCAGATAGATTCTGGAGTCTGGTCACAGAAAGAGGCAAGGCTACATGATGGCTTGGAGTCTTCATCTTTGTCTTTTCACTGTCCTTCCCCACATTGAGTCCATCATCAGGTGTTTTTTTTTTTTTTTTTTCCCTGTTTTGCACCTGCAATATCTCGCCGGGTCACACTGCCATGCCCTGCATGTCCTCTCTCTGCTGTTTCCACTCTTATTGCTCTCAGATCCAAAAGCCACTCTGCACCCAGAGGGCCTCCCATGCACACCAGCCTACCCTACACTCAGTTCTCACTTTCCTCATTGCCTGTGGGATCCTGTCCACAGAACCCCCTCAACACTCTGTCCTCCACAGCGCAGCTCCAACCTGCCTGGCCATGCTCCGCACAGCTGCCCCGCGATACTCCACGTCCCTGGACATGTTACAGTCAGGCATCCTCGTTTTTGCTTATGCTTTGTTTCTCCTTAGAATGTTTCCATGTCATCTCTTTTGGTAATGTCCTTTAAGGCCAGGCTAAAAAGTGGCCCAGAAGGGCCCCCTTTTCCTGCCTGCACCTGTATTACTGTGACCCAGAAGCTGCCTAGGCCATGCTCCTCTCACAGGACAGGCCAGTCAGTGGTTTGCCTGTCTGCGTGGAAAGCGAGAGGGTAAGGATGATGCGCATTCATCTCTGTCTCCAGGGGCGAGTACAGTCCTCTCTGCTAATGAATGCTGAAAGAATGAATGAGTGAAATTGAATGAAATCCATGATGAAATATTTTAATTTATAGGTCAACAGCTTTGGCTGAAGGATTGCAGGTATCTTGGGGAGAGGGAAGAGAAGCAGGGCACACTCAGTTCTGACCTGCTCTTTGGCCCCCACTCTGAAGCCAGGTGGGGGCAGAGTCCAGAGGAGCAAGGGCAGTTGCATGACAGGCCCTCCCCCACCCTACCCCGAGCAGGACTGGAGAACTGGGTCTGGGCCGAGGATATGGCCTTTGTCCCCATGGATGTGCCCTGGAGCCCTGAGCACCAGATGCAGAGGCTGCAGGTGACCCAGAAGCTGCTGGAGACAGAGGAGCAGGCCACCTTCCTGGTGGGAGGCGCCATCCCTCGCTACCTGTACCTGGCCAGCAACCACAGCAACAAGTGGGGTCACCCCGGGGCTACCGCATCCAGGTGCACAGCTTTGCTGGAGAGCCGCTGCCACAGAACAGCTCCATGGAGAGAGGCTTCAGCTGGGGGAGGTGAGTGGTTGGCGGTCAGGAGGGAGTGGGGCAGGCAGACTGGATGAAGGGCTCTACACTGTTCCACCTCCTACAGGTACACACAAACATACACACACATTCCTGTGGCCACAATCTGTTGTCACTCAAAACAAAGCCTAAAGGGTGGGTGGAGGAATGCTGAGATAGGAGGCATTGAAGGAAATCTAGGAAAATATTAATGGTAGACTCTAGACTGTGAGTATGTTTATGTTCACCATACAATTCTTCCAACTTTTCCTTATGTTTAAAACGCTCCCTGGGCCGAGTACGGTGGGTCACACCTGTAATCCCAGCACTCTGGGAGGCCGAGGCAGGCGGATCACCTGAGATCGGGTGTTCAAGACAGCCTGACCAACATGGAGAAACCCTGTCTCTACTAAAAATACAAATATTAGCCAGGGGTGGTGGCGCATGTCTGTAATCCCAGCTACTTGGGGGGCTGAGGCAGAAGAATCGCTTGAACCCGGAAGGTGGAGGCTGCGGTGAGCCGAGATCATGACATTTCACTCCAGCCTGGGTGACAAGAGTGAAAGTCCATCTCCAAAAAAACAAACAAACAAAAACGTTCACATGAAAGGTTGGAGGAAAAACACAGTGAGCTAGGAACACAGATTGGAGGGAGGATTCCCTAAAATCGAGGCATTTGAGATACTGAACTTGACCTAGGATGGGAAACAGGCCATGTCCATATGTGTGGTTCCAAGGCCAAGGCTCAGCATCATGCTCTGATCCAGATGGACGGATGAGCAACATTCCTGCCTGAAGTCTGCTGGGCCAGTTGATGTTTAAGGTACAGGAGAGAGGACAAATGGGGAAACTCTACAGAGGAGAGAGAGAGAGAGAGAGGCAGAAACAGGCAATGAGGACTGGACAGAGAATGATCCAGAGGCTCAAGACTCCAAGACTTTGGGGCTCATTTCCCACTTGTATTCACTCTTCGGTGCAGCTTCAGGCAGTGGCACAGTTGATGACCTTGTAGCTCTAATAAAAAACTCCTGTAGGTACCAGATGGCGGTAACCCAGAGGAAGGAGGAGGATCCCAGTAGCACCAGCATCTACAATTTGAATGACCCTTGGACACCCACTGTGGACTTCACTGACTTCATCAACAATGAGACCATTGCAGGGCAGGTCAGTTGCATGCAGTGGTGAGCATGGAGTTGGGGGTGGGAGAGGGGAGGAGTCAGGGGGACCAGATGAGCCCCTTCACTGCCTCCAGAGCCAGATTCCTCAGGGATCTTCAGAATCCACTAAGAATGAAACTTTGACCGGGTGCAGTGGCTCATGCCTGTAATCCCAGCGCTTTAGGAGGCTGAGGCAGGTGGACCCCCAGCACTTTAGGAGGCTGAGGCAGGTGGATCTCTTGAGGTCAGGAACTCGGGACCAGCCTGACTAACATGGTGAAACCCCATCTCTACTAAAAATACAAAAACGAGGCTGGGCATGTTGACTCACACCTATAATCCCAACACTTTGGGAGACTGAGGTGGGCGGATCACCTGAGGTTGGGAGTTCAAGACCATCCTGACCAACATGGAGAAACCCCATCTCTACTAAAAATACAAAAATTAGCTGGGCATGGTGGCACATGCCTGTAATCCCTCAGGAGGCTGAGGCTGGAGAGTTGCTTGAACCCAGTAGGTGGAGGTTCCAGTGAGCCCAGATCACGCTATTGCACTCCGGCCTGGACAATGTCGTGATCTAAACTCCGTCTCAAAACAAACAAACAAAAACTAGCAGGGTGTGGTGGGACACACCTGTAATTCCAGCTATTTGGGTGGCTGAGGCTTGAACCCAGGAGGCGATAATTGCAGTGAGTTGAGATCATGCCACTGCACTCCAGACTGAGTGATACAGCGAGACTCTGTCAAAAAAGAAAAGAAAAGAAAGGAGAAAAAGAAAGAAAAAACTTTATGATTTCACATTTTTCCTGACGAACTAAGAACATGTGGGTAGGTGAGGTGACTCCCTGTCTGCAAAATCACTGTGGGAGGCAGGGCACATCCTCAGCAAAACCAGAGCTCATGATCCTCTTCCTTCTCCCCTGCTAGGACTTGGTGGCCTGGGTGACAGCTGGTTGTCTGCACATCCCACATGCAGAGGACATTCCTAACACAGTGACTGTGGGGAACGGCATGGGCTTCTTCCTCCGACCCTACAACTTCTTTGACGAAGACCCCTCCTTCTACTCTGCCGACTCCATCTACTTCCGAGAGGACCAGGATGCTGGGGCCTGTGAGGTCAACCCCCTGGCTTGCCTGCCCCAGGCTGCTGCCTGTGCCCCTGACCTCCCTGCCTTCTCCCATGGGGGCTTCTCTCACAACTAGGCAGTCCCTGGGATGGGGTACGTGGCCAAGGGCTCCAGGGCCAGGGCATGAGGGATGGGGAGCAGCTGGGCACTGGGCTGGCAGCCTGGTTTCCTCTCCCCTGCACCAGAACTCTTTCTTCTACTGCCCTCCCTCACATCCCTTGTGGATGCCAGCTGTGCTGAGTTCCCATCTAGAGAGGTGAGGCATGGCCCAGCCTGGAGCCTGGAGCTGTGGCCGAGGGCTTCCCTAGATAGTTCCCTTTTTTGCTGTCTGTCTTTTCCAAATCTTTTTAGGCCATTTCCAAGGACTCTAAAAGGGGATGATTCCCTGGAGACCCCATGGTAGGGTTACCAGTCCTGCAAGTCCATAGCTGAGCTGGAAGGGATGCTTCTGCTCACATTCCCTCTCATCCAGGTTCCTTCTCTTCCTCCCTCTTACCTGCGTCCTCCTCCTCCTGTTCCTGCCTTCTCTTCCATCCTGCAATTTCTCCTGAAGCCTGACAGGATATCCCTACCTCCCAGCCCCTGGTGCTCCCCCAGCCCTCAGTTGCTAATCAACTTCAGTCTCCTCTCCAGCCCTGTGGAAGTCTCAAAGATGCAATGGGACACCTAACTGGAGTGGCCAATCCTTGTGTGTCCCTTGTGTCTGTTGCTTATTGGGAGTAGGAGTTGCTCCCATCTCTGTCCTGGGGCAGGGCGTGCTTCAGGACAGCTCCCTCTGCACATTTGTGTCTGCCTGCCTTGTGCTCTCTAGAGGAGGATGGTCATCGTGACAGAAGCAGCTTAAGTTAGAATTTCAAGTGGTTTTGTGGGTTCAATGATAATGAAGAATAGTCATTTTGTGCCCGGGCTCTGTATTCTGCAACAGCCTGTTTGGGAGGCTGGAAACCAAGGGTGGGCATCAAAGGTGAGAAGCCAAAGCCCCTAGAACTCCAGCCACCCAGCCAGGGGCTGTCCAGTCACATTCAGGCATGCAAATGAGCTGGGCCCTGGGTGGCAGCAGGGAGGGGCCTGGCCTAATGGGAAGGGGTCTGGCCTGGTCCATGCTTGGGCTCCCCTCGTCACTGCTATCCCTCCTGAGGTCTGGATTAGGGATGGGGACAAAGAAATAGAGTTGAGAAACAACAGAAACGTTTTTCCCTAAAGGATTGGTTAAATCAATTCTCATACAGCCTTACAATACTATGCAGCTAAAAAATAATTGTATGTCTTTATATACTAATATATAATAATCTTCAAGTGAAAAAAGCAAGACACAGAAATGTGTATAGCACACTTCCCATTTGTGTTTTAGAAAGGAGGAGAATGTAAATACATGTTTGCTTATGTACATCTATTCATTCAGAAGAAATGGATAACACTGATTACTTCTGGGAGGGGAACCAGGAGGTTGGGGGCAGGGGATGGAAGGCTCTTAGCACTTATGCCCTTTTGTACATTTTGAATTTTGAAACGTGACTGTATTATCTATTCAAAATAAACAATAAATGGGCCCAAACAAGAACTGACTTTTTCTTTTTCTTTTTTTTTTTGAGACAGAGTTTCACTCGTATTGCCCAGGCTGGAATGCCATGGCATGATCGCGGCTCACCACAACCTCCTGGGTTCAAGCAATTCTCCTGCCTCAGCCTCCCGAGTAGCTGGAATTACAGGTGTGCGCCATCATGCCCAGCTAATTTTTGTATTTTTAGTAGAGACAGGGTTTCACCATGTTGACCAGGATGGTCTCAATCTCTAGACCTTGTGATCCACCCGCCTTGGCCTCCCAAGACTTTTTTTTTAATTACATTTTTTTTTAAGCAGGTTGTGGGTAGGGTAAAGTGGGTTAAGGAATGGGATCAGGGATGAAATTTTCTCAAGTTCCTGAGAGCCAGAGAAGCAAGTGTGGCCTCTAGTAACTCCTTTTGCCTTCTCATGCTTGTACATTTTTTTTTTTTTTTTTTCTGAGACAGAGTCTTGCTCTGTTGCCCAGGCTGGAGTGCAATGGCGCAATCTCGGCTCACTGCAACCTCCGCCTCCCAGGTTCAAGCAATTCTCCTGCCTTAACCTCCTGAGTAGCTGGGATTACAGGCATGCACCACCATGCCCAGCTAATTTTGTATTTTTAGTAGAGATGGGGTTTCACTATGTTGGCCAGGTTGGTCTTGAACTCCTGACCTTGGGTGATCTGCCCACCTCAGCCTCCCAAAGTGTTGGGATTACAGGTGTAAGCCACCATGCCTGGGCTGAACTTCTCCTTTCAATGCATATACTGTTGTCCCCACCTCCTTACAGCTCCTTCTAATGGCTACTTGCATCATCGTCAGTGCTGGGGGAGGGGGAGCAAAGAAATTCAGATATCCACCCCCACCCACTCAGCATCTTGTTCACTTGAATTTAGTTGCCTTGAACCCCATCTCCAGACCAAAGATCATGAGTATATGTGGTGTGTGTGTAATTGTGTATCAACTGTCACACACTTTTTTTTTTTTTTTTTTTTT